CTAAACAGTGGCATATGTGGCCTGGTGCCATGTGTGTGTGTGTCAGGGAAGCTGCAGCAGCAAGGAGCATAGGTCAGAAAGTGGCATTGGACACCACCTTTGAAGCTGTTGTATCCCACTGATTTTGGACTTTGTTGCTGCTGCCAAAAGCCATGAATGAGGAGGAGGGTGAGGTCATAGCCTGACTTTTTCCCATTGTTATCCCTGCACTGAGAGGTATTTCCAAGTCTGCCCAGTGACTAAGCCTCATCTCCTTGATAGCTCTAGTTGAACACCTGCCAGTCTCCAGAGGGAGGATGTAGTGGCTCTGCCATGCTAGCCCTGTGTCATGGGTTATGCTGAGAGGCTGCCCTGAGCACTGTGAGCTAGGGACAGTTAACCAAGTGCCTGGGCCAGAGGAAGCCATCAGTAGCTTACTCTGCTAAAGGACCCTGCTCCAGAAAGGGGCCTTATTTTCTTCCCGCTGGGGAAGCTGGGCTTGTCTGAAGCACTGGTGAAGGAGGTAGGTGCCATGACTGCATGTTGACTTCTCCCTGCAGCCAGATTGAAGGTGTCATTTTAATGATTCTGCTACAAGCCCTCACCGTGCATGTCTCTGAGAATCCATCCTCCACTTGCACCCTTGACCAGGATGGAGTCCTGGACTGGACAAGTAAGTATGTCCTTGGGAAATCTTCTGGGCACTCTGGCTGCACCCTCTGTACCCCTACTCTCCCCCAGGTGTCACTGTGAGGGAGCCTGTGAGACTGATGTAGGGTTCCTTTTAGCCACCTTTCCCAATCTGATAGTGCTCCTGCTAAACCAGGCCAGCTGGAGGGAAATGGTAAGACCTCTAACATGCCATGAATTCAGCTAGCTCTATGTTAAAATTTCTCTTATGGCTACCCTAATCTTATGGCAGAGAACTGAGTTTCACTGAGCTAGAAAGCAGCTGTTCTAGGGGAAGATGCTGTCCGTGTAGCACAGCCTGTGCTGCTTTGCAGTGTGGGAGGTCAAGACTGCAAAGACATTGAATGAAATCTACTTCTGTTGCTTCCACACACAGAGCTGCCTGGGTCTGTAACACTCTGGTACAGTTCTGACTTCCTCTCCTCCTCTTCCTTTCCTAGCTGGTCAGGAGAAGAGAGAGCAGCTGAGATGAACAGGAGCACTAATGTGTTTTCACTGCAGGCTAAACCCTGGTCTTGATCTGTCAGTTGCTTCATATTTATGTAATACTGACACTAAGTCCTGGGGACACAAAGACTGAAAGACACCTGTTAAATATATCCTTCTTGGCTGAGCAGAAACTTCCAAGAACAAGCTCCATTACCTGGCAGGGACAAAGGCTTCAGGATAACTGCCTCCAAAAAGCAATTTGACTGCATGGAAGTCTCCATGTCAGATCAGAGCTGGAGCTCATGATTAGGCACCTATTCCTACCCATTTTGTGGTCTGATACATGCAGAGACATCTGTGGAGGAAAGTATGGAGGTACTTATTTGAGACACTGATAGAATGAGAATGTAACTACTTCCAGGCCTTGTTGCATAGCCTCTTAGCTCAACTGTTTTGATTCACTTTTCCTGTAACTTTCCTCACCACTGCCCAACACACAAACCTGGACACATAGAAAAAAACACACGCTCCCACAAACACATTGTGTGCAGTGGTGTAAGACCTCCAACATGTGGTGTCATGCAGGACAAGAGTCCTGGAAACATTCCACATTTCACCCACATCGTTTTCCTATGCCAGTGTTATGTGCACGGTGTGCAGATGCTGAACCCTAGACCAGTACAGCAGTGGAGAGCTGTGAATTCCCTGTCTAAAAGTGTACTTTCCTTGCAGCTCCGGTACTGGTGCTGGCTGGTCTCTGCAGTGCTATGGCTTGTTTCTACGTCATCTTCTTCCACACCAACTACAAGCGACTCCATGCTGAGACAAACACTGAAGATTTGGCCAAGGCAGAAGATACAGCAACAGCAGATGTTCCTGAATCATAACCAGGGATGCCAGGGGCCCAGTAAGGGAAGGACTCAGGCCTGTGGGCAGGAACCATGACTGGAAATGCTCAGCTGGCACACTGGGATTATCAGGTAGTGTTGCACAATAAGCAAGGGCTAAAGCAGAGTCACTGGGGCACCTTTGCTGTGCTTCCCTCATTCTTTTATTTATTTACAAGTCCAGGCTGTAAGAAGGGCTGTTCTGCTAGAAAGGTCAAAGTGGGACTAGAGAACTATGCAGGTAACAGGGATTTTTAGCTCACTTGATTCAAGCTAAAGAAATGTTGCAGAGGAAAGAAGCATTGTATTTCAGCCATTTTTTTCACTTTTATGTACTTGGATGAGGGATGAAGCTTTCACAGGGGTGGAAGCCATTCCTATTTGGAACACTGGCAGCCACTAGCCCCTCTACTCTCCTCTTGTGAGACCTTACCTGGAGTACTATGTCCAGCTCTGGAGACTCCGACATAACAAGGACACGAATCATTGAAAAGGGTCCAGAGGACGGCTACAAAAATGATGAGAGGGCTGGAACACCTCTCCTACGAGGACAGACTGAGGGAGTTGGTGCTGTTTGGCCTGGAGAAGAGAAGGCTCTGAGGACACCTTATGGCAGCCTTTCAGTGTCTGAGGGGGACCTACAAGGAAGCTGGAAAGGGACCTTTTACAAGGGCATGTGCCCTTGTTATCTACCCCACTAGAGCAGGGTAGATATACATGAGACATTAGTAAGGAGTTCTCTACTGTGAGGGTGGTGAGACACTGGAACTGGTTGCTCAGAGAAGTTTTGGAGACCAGGCTGGATGAGGCTTTGAGCAACCTGCTCTAGTGGGAGGTATCCTTGCCCATGGCAGCGAGGTTGGAACTAGATGATCTTTAAGGTCCCTTCCAACTCAAGCCATTCTATGATTCTATGATTCTACCACAAACCTACCAGAAAACTTGTACAGCGTAATGACTCTTCTACTCTAAGTCTGGAGCAAACTGTGCCTCTTCACTAAAAGGTGGGAGGAGCTACATCATCCTTCCATTGCAGCAGGAAAGTGTAGGTATGTGATCTGTAATATAAGTCTGTTACAATGAGCCACTTCGTCCTCTCCAACAAACAGGAAAAGCCCTGCCTCCAGTGCCACCTGTAAAAGAAAATACCAGTAAGCAGCAGAAGTTAAATATGGCAGCATTCCTCGCCCTCCTGGTCCTTTGCCAGATGCTGAGACATTCAGAATAAGCTTGCTTGTCTTGGGCCTCTGTTGTTGGTCCACCTGTCCTGCCATTCTACTGGTTTAAGTTTTCCACACAAAGACAAACCTGCTCGTGTCAGATTAGGGTAATATACCCTCCCTATGCCAAGTCATGCTGTCCTTTAGGGGAACGCTAAGAGTGTTCACTTTCTGGGGAATGACGCAGCAGTACCTGGTGTGGTGGAAGCTGGCAGAACTGGCAAAGGCAACTACTCAGAGAATGCAGGGACCTGTCATGTGTTTCTGCAGATGATAGGGGCTTTCTGGGGAAGACCAAGTAAGAAACAATATCAACAAGCACCTTCCAGTTCTCTCTGCAACTGGCAGCTGTTCTTCAGTGTTTGAAGAGATGGGTAGAGACAGAGAAGATTCCATTTGGAGTTCAGTTTAACAATTGCAATGGATAGACTGTGTTTTTCTTTTTACAGTACTTCCACAGCAGGCCAGTGTCCTGCCTTCGGTGTTCAAGTCTAGATGTACAATCTCAGAACTTTTTACCCTGTAACATTTCTGTGGTGAAAAAAATGAGATAGACAGGACTTGATGCTTCATACCATGCATATTGCAAAGAGATCTGAGTACTTGCTCATTAAGGGAGCTTGATGCAAACTGGAGCTGTGACTGGCTTTGTCCAGTCAAGCTAGAGAATGATTCCAGAGCAAAGGATGCATTTTCCCTGAGCAACACTGTACAGATGCGTTCTCTCAGTGCCTGAATTCTCTTCCCCGTTAGCAGCTGGAAATCTCTCCCTTTGTAAAACAGTTTGCTGCAACCTTCTAGGGAGCCTGCTAGTTCCTACAGCTCCAGCTTTGCTCTTACCTGTAAGCATTGACGTTTGTCAAAAGGATCAGGAAGGAAGATGGAAACTGAGGTGAAACAAGATCAGTTTGGACCTGTCAGAGGAATGAGATTGCTGTCCTTCACAAAACTACATGGTCAGTTCTACAGCCCTGGACAGAATACGCTCAATAGATAAACGCCAAACTTCCGTGACACTCTTAAGTCCTACTGTACTGAGAAGCAAGAAGAACATGGTACTTTATAATTGTATGTATATACAGATGCTACTGGTTTTTAGTTAAGGGTGGTTTAATCTTTTCTCACTATATTAAACTTCTAGAAAGTCTTCTACAAATGCATCAAGTCTGCTATGTAGCACAAACAAAAGGTATTTGTGAGATGAGCATTAAGTTATGTCCAAAATGATACTGTGAAGTGTTAAGAGTTATCTCAGATCTTAAAATGACAGTGTGAAATTAGCTGTAGGTTAAACTATAGTTAGCTCTACTTTGAAGGGTAAGTTAAAGGAGTGAGGAAATACTGCTAGCAAACTTTTCCAAAATCTGCCATTGCCCTGGTCAGAGAGCCTACCTTGCATCAGCTAGACACTGATTTTTATCCAAGCATATAAAAGAGATTTGAAAAGTGAGATTTTTCTCTAATGCATCAAACATACATGTGTGTAAGGCTAATTCTGAATTTCTAATGCACTGCGGAGCAGGTTGCTCCTCCACTATATGGTTTGCCATACCCTGGCAGCATGTTGTAGAGGTGTTATGGCACTGCTAACAGTGAGGCCAGACAGCTTGCATAAATACTGACCTTGCACCATCAGCTGTTTCTGCTGGTTCAGCTGACTTCATTTTGTCTTTAGAAGAAAAGAGGCTCAAATTTCTGTGCTAGTCTGTAATTACCACCATAGCTGAAGTCAGCTTACTGCTGGGCACTCCTCTCCTCAAGGCTGCTTAACTTGTCTGTCTTTTGCAGTTCACATTTAGACTTGCCTTTCCCTAGAAAGCCTATGGAAATCATGAAGCTGAAATTTTAGCAGGACAGATGACTTCTGATATTAAGGCATGGTCTTGGTATGCTGGGGAGTGGACCCACATTCTCTCCCTACCAAAGGAGTGATCTGGCTGCTTATGTGACCCCAGTATCCCCAGCAGAGGCCTGGGGAAGACTTGTACTGCAGGAAGCCTGCAAAGGTGAATGGTCCTGGCGGTGGTCTGGTGTCACTAGAGGCTGCCTGATTTTGTCAAGCCAAATGAGAGAGACATGAAGGTCAGCCAACTGCAGCCATCACAGCTGTGGATCCTAGAGCAGCCCTCTGACACAGGCAGGGATATGCATTCTTGCCATCCTGCACAGAGTTGGAATCAAGACAACACTTCTCTTGCAAAAAGTGTTGTTCCTCTTGCACAGAAACCAGCCATGAGGCCCCTGGAACAGCTCAGTCCAAAAGCTTTCTGCAGGACACTATCACTGCTTCTCTGTAGAGCAACTCTGCTCGGTGAGGTATATCCTGCAGGCTTCCTGCAGCCTCTCAGAGCAGCCTTCCCTGGGGACTGCATGGGTCTGGCAGAGGAAGGTCAAGTTCCTCTGAGCCTAGCGGTGCAGGCTGAGGACCAAGTAGTTCCTGCCCACCCTGTCCCGTACTGGCCAGACCTGCCTGTAAGTGCCAGGAAAGCAAAACAGGCAGCAGCCGTACTGGAGAACAGCAGCCCCAAGGATACTCCTCTGAGTACAGACCTGCGGAGAGGCTCAGGTGAGATTCTTTGTGCTGCCATGGGCTGAGTTGTAAATGGCCAGTACTGCTATGCTCAGCCTCTCACAAGGGCCAGTGGACATATCAACCAAATCCCCTTTGCCTCCCACAGGTATTTGCACACCAGCACAGGAAGGCCTGCCTCTGCAGGACTGGGTCACCCTAGTTCAAGTTAAGGTGGATGTTGTCTACACTCAAACCAAACAAAACTAACATTGGTGATATTTTTTTAAAGTAAAAGCAGACATCATCAAAATGTGAAAAAAAAGACATTCAGGGAAACTTTAAGGCAGAAGATCTTTTTCATTTCTTCAAAAGAAAAATCCAGTAGAAAAGAAACCAAACTTGTATAAACTGTATAGATATAAAAATTTTGGAGTGATTGGAGCTGGCAATGGAAGCCATACATCATGAAAACACATCACGAAGCAAACAAATTATGACAATGGCTGTTACTGCCCCCTTTTTGGGACCACTGTGTTCAAACACCTTTAACCCTGAGCAAAGAGACTGAATAAGCAGGAGAGATACAGGTTGAAAGTCAAAAGTAATTATACTTTGGGGCTACAAAAACCTTCTTCTGCCTCATGCTTTTCTGAAATAGAGGTTTATTTGCTTCCATCCCCCATAGCCTCAAGACCAGTTGCCCACTTCTTATCTTCATCTACACCTGCCTTTGGATTAAGTTTGTCACAGGGATTTAATGGCCTACTAGTGAAAGGAAACTGTAGTTTAGCTTTCTGGAGCTCTGTGAGGCTGGAACTCTTAAGAAAGCTTAAAGCAACAGCTAGCATGTCCAAGTTCTTCTTGATAATCTGCAGTCTTATAAAAGTAACCAGTGCTTTAAAACTCTCCAGGGAATTTTCATGCTATGTTTAAAACAAGTGGCACTGCTCCCAGCTGCAATGTGTTCATGTATGTGCCTGCTTTGCAAGCAGTTCCCTCAGTAATTTTTGCTTGTCAGACCGTGGTATAGCATAGAAGAAAACATATCCTGGAACCAGATGTCCTACAAAATTGGAACAAAACTAGAGTTTTGGCAGGTTTTATGGAAAAGGAGCCTAGACTAGCTGAAACATCTAATACAGTATTTTTCTGTCTGGATATGTTTCCCCTTGTGATCCTATTGCAGGAAATCCAGGCTCTGTTAACACATGATGGATAGTACTGGCATTATTTAGTTTGCTGCATTATATTCCTTTAATAGAAGAGAG